TTTTTTTTTTTTTGGTACCGGGGATCGAACTCGGGACCTTGTGCTTGCGAGGCAGGTGCCGGAACCACTGAGCTAAATCCCCGGCCCTATATGATATATTTTTGTTAACTGTAGTTGTGCTGTAAAATCAGAGGTAACTATCTTTAATATCAACTATATTTTGCAACATTTTAAATAATATATATTGTAAATTTATGAGCATTCCTTTAGATCAATCTGTTTTTCCCCTTTCTTATTAGTAAGGTTTCTTTGTGAAATGTGCCTTGTATATTTGCTCTTGTTTTATCACTGTGCTTATCTTTTTCAGTTGTCTGTTTTGCTTATTAAACCTGTGGATTAGGAAGTACCTAGAACTTAGTAGGTATTCAATAGATACTTATTTTAAAAAGAATAAATTAATTTCTGAAACTTTTTAACAGTGAAATATTAACCTTTGTGCTAACATATGTCAGTGATAATTGTCAGTTGTTTTTGTCTTAAATTTTTTAGCAGCATATTGAAGTTTAAAATGTTTTTTACAACAGATTTCTTTCTCATAAAGTTTATTTACATTTATGGGTAATTCTCCTTACCCCAATACTATAATGTACCCACAGATTTTCTTTGAGTTTTCATGGAATGAAAAATAATTTACAAGGTAGTAAATATGTCTGCAGTTTATTTTCAAGTAATTCAGCTAAGAAAAAAATAGTATGTATATAAAGAGAAAACAAATAGCCCAAACAACTGGTGAATCTAGATGAAAGATAAATGAGTGTCCATTATCACATTTATTCAACTTCTAGGTAAAGTTTGAAAATATACGTTGAATGGGGGACTGCTCTTTGTGGGAAAGCTAGAAATTAACTAAGCTTCTAGGAGTTTTGGAAACACATCACCATGTGAAGTATCTGTATTACATATTCTGTGAGGTTTATAAGAAATATTTTATTAACCATGTGCAGTAGCACATCCCTCATTCCAGTTACTTGGGAGGCTGAGGCAGGAGGATTGCACACCCAAGACAAGCCTGGACAACTTAGCAAGACCTTCTCTCAAAAAATCAGAAGGCCAAGGCCCGAGTTCGATCGCTGGTACCAAAAAAAAAAAAAAAATCAGAAGGCCCAGGGATGTAGCTCAGTGATAGAGCACCCTAAGGTTTGATCCCCAGAACTACCAAAAATGAATAAATACATGTTTTGCTACATTCAAAGAAAAAAATTTAAAATGTAACAAAAAAAATAAAGTGTAACAAATAAAAAGGCTGAATAAATACCACACATACAAGTTACAGTGATAGAATTTTTTTTTTTTTTTTTTT